TTGATATAAAAAATATTCATTTAAAATGAAAAGTTTTGGTTGCAACTCTTTAACTCTGCTGTTGTAGCCACAGGTATTACATACATGAATGACTGTATGTATGAATAACTGTGTTCCAATAAAACTTCATTTAGGGAGACTGAAATTTAAACTTCAAACAATTTTTATGTGCCACAAAGTATTATTCTCCTTTTGATTTTTTTCAGCCACTTAAAAAAATACAAAATCCATTCTTAGCTCATAAGCTACATCAACACCAACACCAACAAAAAGACAGGCTGGATTTGGTCTATAGGACTTTTATCAACTCCCAAAACAAATTAAGAGTTTCTTGAGAATAGAGACAATGTCTTATTAATTTTTTAAAACTCCAGTACCCAGTATGGCATTGGATACATATCAAAGATTAAAAATAAAAAGCTTGATGAATGAATGAATGGATGAGAATTAAGATGTATGTTGGGCTTCTATTTAACTCTTTAATTTATGATCAAGATAAAATATTAGTACCCAACCCTTTATTCTGATGTAGCATAAAAATCTAAAAATGTTTAAAGTTATTTTTACCTTATAAATATAAAATAGTTTAATATTTTCAAATTTACCATAACATATTATAAAACATTTCTTTGTAATGATATATACATTTTTTAAAGCTTCTTGATCTTTTAGTCTCTTCTAGAATTTATGTCTAAAGGGTTTTCACTTCGTCTCACTTATAAGTCCCTAATTTTACTTTTTAAGAATAATAAGATTCTTGATGTAACAATACCCATTTCGGGCATATATTGTTTTTAACTAATAATGAGATACAAAGAGGTAATACTTTATATAGCAATGAATTCTTATATTCTATAGAATTTTACAATTACTAGCATTTCACCAATGCCAAGAGATTATTCAACCTTTGTCCGGTAACAGAAACTAAAATCTACCCTTTAAAAAAATATATATATATATTTATTTATTTTAAGTAATCTCAATGCCCAATGAGGGGCTCAAACTCATGACCTGCTGATCAAGAGTCAAACAAATGCTACTCCAACTAAGCCAGCCAGGAGCCCTGAAAATAAAATACATTTTTTTCTATACCTCTATTTATTAACTTTTCATTAAATTTAAATCCTTGAGGGGTACAGCATCACATGGATTCTGTGCCCAATGGCTTTAGCAGGAAGGTTGCTTCGGAATTTGGCAGGAACCAAGCCGTTGTTCCCGTGAGCACGAGTTACTTTTCCCCAGATTACTCTGGTTTGTTTGGTTTGCCATCAGGAATCACTGTGTTGTTCTTTGCTTTGTACACATAAGCACATCTCTTGCCTAGAGAGAATTCCATTTCATCTCGAGCATATACACCTTAGATTTTAAGAAGAGCTGTGTGCTCCCTCTGGTTACAGAGACCCCGCTTATAGTCAGCAAAAATGGCCTTGGACCACAACCTTCCAGACATTATTTGGCATTTTAGGAGTCCCATTCCCAGCCAGCCTCCACATGCCCCAAGATGGCGGAGAAAGAATAAAATCTATTCTTTAAAAAATAAAGATTTCTATGTTAAAATAAACTCTAAAATAAGTTTTGCTAGTATTTCATTTTAGAGGCAGGGAGCAGGCCAGCAAGCATGCAAATATCAGATGAACCATATTCTATGACACAGGGCCCAAAAACAGAAACAATTTCATAATTTAGGGAAATGGATTCTGATTGCCTTATTTCTATTAAAAAGAAAAAAAGGAAAAAAGATATACTTTACTGATTTTGCTATTCCATTTTCCTTTTTAACAGACCTGGAAAGAAACCCAAGTTTATTAAGCTTTTCTCTCTAGGGTTCATACCCACTGACAATAAGTTTAGATTGCTTTATTTCATTTATTCTATTTGTTTCCCCCATTTTCTTCCTAACAACACACACATTCCACAAACAATTGTCCTTTGTATTTGTAGATTAGACTATTCACTGTCAATTATTGACTGTAAAATATTTGTACCTTAGTGGAGAAGTTTTTTATTATTTTATCTTAATATTTAATATGTGTTTTCTATAACTTGAATACTTAAAAATTTTTGTAAATCTAAGTTATCTATAGTTAAACGTAGTCTAGAAATGGTTTCTTCTCTTTTTAGGCACAATTATCTAAGACAAACAAGTTAAAGAAAACTCCCTGTATTATCACAGAACCCAAATTATATTTCAGGGTTCCTAGCAGGCATCCAGTATTATAATTTGGATATTAGAAGAATGACAAGCATTTAAATGTATAGTGAAGATACGAAATCAGTATTTTTGGTTGGACTTACATTGCTTTTATGTTTGTTTATTTTTCAAATGCTTAACAGTTTTATGGACTTCCGCTGTAGATAGTCACACCCTATGTATTTATATATAAAATACGAAATAAAGCAAACCCATTAAAAATCAAGATATTTACAATTGGTAAGTCACCCAATCTGAAAAAAAAAAAAAAGATTAAGAAAGACCTATTTATGTATATTTTAAACTTAGGCATTTTAAATGTAAGAATTTAACCTGTACCCCTGGGGATAAAAATACGTTATATGTTTATTTTAAAAAATAAATAAATACATTAAAAAAAAAGAAGAAGTGGACATAAACTGATTTAGGACTGAAAATATGCCTAGAATATAACTTTTATGAGATATAGTCATGGTGCTAATAAAAAAAAATTATGTGATCTAGAAAAAAATAAAAAGTAAGAATTTAAGAGCACCTGTAAGGTTTTAAGGTAACTGAGACTTCATTCATTTAAGAATAAAGGGCTTCTTAATTTCTGATATAATGAAACATAGATGTTCAGGGAAAGAGACTCTTATCAACTAACAGTACTTAAAAAAAAAGTGGATGGGATAAACACATATTAGAATGGTAGAAATTTAAGACCTCTGATTTACAATAAGATGAAAAAAGATAAAATATGAAACTTACTACATCAAAATTTAAAAATAACAAGATCATAAAGATTTCATGGATATACTTTAAATCTACGATAAGACTGTTTTTCTCTATTTGGTAGTTACGTGCCCAAAAAAACCCAAAAAAACAAAAAACAAAACCAACTAACCAATTCGTTCACTTAGTATTTATGTAGCAACAAATAAAAAGAATTAACCCTTACTAAGTTAACCCTTGCATATAGCATTTACTAACATGCCAGAAATAGTTTTCATTGAATCCCACAGCTACCCTTGTACATAGGTACTTTTGTTTGCCTCATTTCATAGGAAACTGAGGCACAGAGGGGTTCAATAGTTAGTCTATGGTCACCCTGTTAATAAGTAGCAGAGCCAAAATTCAAAGGTTTATATTTTCAGTCTAGCATTTTGATAATAACTTGACACACCACAGAATACAAAATACTTAACTCTGTGTGGGAATTATTCTCCCCCAATTAAAATAATGTTATCTGGTTATAAATGAATTCCATAGTAACTTACTTTCTGATATAAAAAGAAATGATACAATATTATTAAATCATCACAGAAAAAACAGGGAATATAAAGCCAAGGTCATTTACTTCAAATACTTAACAGAACGACCAGACTCCAAAAATTCTTCACATATGTAAGCAATTTTCTTACAAACAAAACACAAACACAGCTATCTCTACAGGAGATGGCTTCCCTCCAATTGTACTTTTTAAGTTAGTCTCAAAGTCTAAAAGAAATGTAAAAACTGGCCAAAGGACCATTTCCCCTTAACACCCAGAAGCTTATTATGTAAGAATGGCTTCTTTTTTAAAGTCATGAAAACACTACAACTCTATTCTGATTGCTTTAAAAACAAACCACATTATAAATCTAATCATAAAAATATCCCAAAAAATTCTGTCACAATTTTTACATACAAGAACAGAAAGTATTTTACAATTTGTTAAAAAAATTTCCATTTTCATATACTAGAACTGTGGTTTTTAAAGTTTGAAAGTATGGTCTACAGGCCAACAACATCTGCATCACCTGGGGCCTTGTTTGAAATACAAATGCTTAGGACCCACTGCAGATTTACTGAATCAGAAGCTCTGTGGGTGTGCCCAACAATCTATTTTAACAAGCCCTTAGTTTGATTGTGGGGCAGGCCAAAGTTTGAAAACTACTATGATAAAGTTAGATGGAGAGTAAATACTTAATAGATGCAGAGCAGAAATGTCTTGTATTAATCAAACAGTACATACAATCATGCATTGGTTTGAAAATAGAAGGACATATTGAACATTAAGTTGAAATTCAGCCAGCAAACACTTTTTTGGGAGGTAAAGGAAACAGTATGACAAGTGGTAAGATAAGTTTGCATATGATTCTGAGGTTTATGGCTTCCTTCAAAGAAAAAAAAAAAAAAGACTCTTTTCCCTGTATCACTGATCACTGCCTACTCTTAATTCTCTCCCTAACTTTTCTCCTCATGCAAAGGTTTAAGGTAAGATTCTTGTGGCATAAAGCCTAGATATTAATTCTGCTTTTTGGCTTATTAAATTCTGCATTTAAATTCACATTAGAATTACGAACTATGGAATCCTTTCTCTTCAAAAGTACTATAAATATGGTATATATATTCTATTGTAATTTCCTGTGCTTTAAGACCAATGACAAGGGTATCTCAAGAACAGAGAAATCAGATAATTTTGAATTACATTAACAAAGTACATCAGACCAGAAGCAATGCAAAGAGTTAAAGTTCTGCTATCACCTCCTTTGGCAACACACCTGAAGTTCAACTTGTATCACAGACACTAAACAAAAGCAAAATTATCTTCTGGACTAGTTCAATCTTCCTCATTTTATATCATGTTTGTATAAATCCAAAGAAAAGAAGTCAAGAAACATTTTTTATACAATTCTCCTACAGCAAAGTTTTTACATTCTTAGAACCACAAGTCTCTTGTTCTGCCTTGCAAAATTATAAAAATAATATAAAACACAGTGAAAAAGATGAATGATAATATGAATAGCCTACTTCTTGAATATGAGAAAAGCACATACTATCTCACCTCTGGAGTGACATCTCGTGGTGCAAACCCTGTTCCTCCAGTTGTTAATATCAAGTTAAGTTCCTTTTCATCACACCAATCGATCAGGGTTTCCTGAAAGAAAATGGTAACACTGTCACAGGCAGAAGAACTTACTAGCCCACTTAAGACATTCACATACCAAATACTTCATATACAGTGAGGAAACGCAGATTCATTTCAGCAATCAAGAAGAAAATTTTGAAGCTCAATTCATGGAACAGATTTGTTATTGATTGAAACACACTGCAGTTTGGGGTATTTTTGCAGTATAAAAAATGAGGAAGAAAGCATCAAATTTTTAAAAATAAATGAAACACAGGAAATACTATAAATTAAGAGCTTATAAAAAAGTTTAATATTGGGGAAAAAGTTTAATATTGGATATTCAATAAAATCTAAGAGGGAAAAGCAGGGCATTCCAACAAAATTATAAATTGTCTTTATTTTTTTTTATTTCTCCATTTTTCTCTATTCAAGTCCATCCAGATCTGATACAGTCTGGGCTTACTTTCTTTTTCTTTCTACATCTCTGCAGTGGTTTCTGAAATAAGTTCAGTCTGAAGACTAGATATTGTTCAATTAGGGTTTTTTTTTAATTATATAATAATCAGACATTTGATGGTATAAAGAGGATAGGTTATACGGTAGTGCTAATATTGTTAACTTTCATAGCAGAAGTTTGACCAACTCCAAAGTTTAAAAAGATAGCAAAAAATATGACTAGCGGGGTGCCTGGGTGCCTCAGTCATTAAGCGTCTGCCATCTGCTCAGGTCATGATCCTGGGGTCCTAGGATTGAGCCCCACATCGGGCTCCTCGCTCAGTGGGAGCCTGCTTCTCCCTCTCCCACCCCCCTTCTTATGTTCCCTCTCTTGCTGTGTCTCTCTCTGTCAAATAAATAAATAAAATTATTTTAAAAAATGACTAACTTATTAATAATTTTCCTTATTTTTAAACGAGAGAGATCTGTTTAGCACATATCTTATAATATGATCTCACATTCACTTTCTTTTTTCTTTTTTTTAAGATTTTTATTTATTTATTTGACAGACAGAGATCACAAGTAGGCAGAGAGAGAGAGGGGGAAGCAGTCTCCCTACAGAGCAGGCAGACCGCACGATCCCAGGACCCCGAGATCATGACCTGAGCTGAAGGCAGAGGCTTAACCCACTGAGCCACCCAGGTGCCCCCACTTTCTTTTTTTTCTATTTAAATGAAATAAAATGCTTCTGTATTAGCTTGAGAGTACTATTTTGGTTTTGTATAGCTATTTCTTTCACTCAGTTAAGCATTCATACATTCTTCTATTTGTAACATACGAATAGAAAGATGACACGTTTTATAACTTATAATAGTTATTTCTGGATAATTAGATTTGTAGTACATTTTAATTCCTTTCACATTTTTCAAATTCTTTAAAAATTACAGGTATTATTGAAAAAATAAAGGGATTTTACAAATCAAATTTTCTGGTATTTGTTCTTTATTTTGATAACCTTAGTGTCTTATTTCCCCCTCATTTTCAGCCAGCTCAGAAACAAATTTTATATTCGACAACTAAGTATATTCTACTGTAGTAGGTTAAATACAGTCACATATTCTTCATAAATCCTCCTGTCAAAAGGTGGAGTCTGTTTTCATCAATTCCATATCTAGGATAGAACTGTAACTCTGATGAGGGCAAAAATCATGGTGTATGAGTTCTGAAGCCACGTTCTCAAAATGTCTCACATTTTCTACTGTCACTCTCTTGGTAAACTTCTATTATCATGAAAGGAAATCCAGTCTAAATAACAGAATGAAGAGGACATGTAGAGAGAAAGCTCAATGAAACAGATAGCACCAAGGCCCCAGACATCTGTATGATGCTATCTTAGATTTTCCAGCCTTAGTTGCAAATTATTTCAGCCAAATGAATGACACCAAGTAAAACCAGAAGAAAATACACCCAGGTAAGCCCAGCAAACCCACAGATTTGTGAGAAATAATAAATCATTGCTGTCACTAAGTCTTATGGTGGTTTTAATGAAATGATACAGTACAAATACAACTACTTTCCTAGTTAGTATCTTTGCATCCTCCTCTTTTTTCAGGCTATTTTCAATTTATATTTTATTGTATTTTATTAGTCGTAAGTCTACACATCCTTCACAAAAATCTTCAAAATAGTTTTGAAAGTAAACTTGATGTGAATTAGGTTTAAATAAATTACCATGAAGTCTCAATTTTAATCTTTCAGTTTAAGAAACATACCAATGCCTAAAACAGTATGGAGGGTCCTCAAAAAGTTGAAAATAGAGCTATTTTATGACCCAGCAATTGTACTATTAGGTATTAACCCCAAAGATACAAATATAATGATCCAAAGAGGTACCTGAACCCCAATGTTTACAGCAGCAATGTCCACAGCAGCTAAACTATGCAAAGAGCCCAGATGTCCATCGACAGATGAATAAAGAAGATGTGGGATATATATACAATGGAATACTACTCAGCCATAAAAAATAAAAAAGAAATCTTGCCATTTGCAATGACATGGATGGAACTCTTGGGTGTTATGCTATGTGAAATAAGTCAAATCAAGAAGACAATTATACGATCTCATTCATATGTGGAATTTAAGAAACGAAACAGAGGATTATAGGGGAAGGGAGGGAAAAATAAAACAAGACAAAATCAGAGAGGGAGACAAACCATAAGAGACTCTCAGTCATAGGAAACAAACTGAGGGGGTGTGGGGTAACTGGGTGATGGACATTAAGGAAGGCATGTGATATAATGAGCTCTGGGTAGTATGTAAGACTGATTAATCACTGACCTCTACCTCTTAAACTAATACACTATATGTTAGGTAGGTGAATTTAAATTAAAAAAAAAAAAACAAAAAAAAAAAACAACAACCATACCAATGATGAGTATGTGCCAGGAAAATGTGGGAATGAAAAAAAATGCAATGACAAATGTACTTTATGTCAATGAGCTCAATAGTATGAATAAATTAATTTGGTACCTCAATATATCATGGTTAGTGCTATGGAAGTGCTATGAAAGAAGTGTGACCATCTTAAGAAAATTGTTTTGCATATATCATATGTCTTTATGAATATTTAACATTTTTCTTACATTGACCAGAATGAAAACCATCACTACAGAGATCTTTAGCAATAATTTTTCTCTTGCAGAAGACTATAGAACCTAAAAAAAATAAAAATGGGACAGTAATAGAGCTAAGAGGAAGTAAATTTAGACAAGCCAACGTTCTATATATCTACTTAGAGTCTCATACTCATCTATTGCAATAGATTTTTTTCCTTCCTTTACATTTATTGATGGAAACATGAATCACTGAATTAAGCAGACCTCAGCAATATAAAATCACTTGAGAAATGTCACATTTTTCTTTGTTTTTTTAAAGAGTCTGATATCAAGCCCTGCATTGGGCTCTCTGCTCAGCGAGAGCCTGCTTCTCCCCCCACCCCCTGCCTGCCTCTCTGCCTACTTGTGATCTCTCTCTCTGTCAAAAAAAAAAAAAAAAAAAGTCTGATATAACCACCTAAGAAATTCCTATCTATACCTAATGAGATACAGCATTAGGACACCTTATTAAAGTCTCCTCTGACTCCTCCAGGCGATTTGTTCCCTGTGTGTAATAGCAGTCATTCCTTTGGGATAGCATTTTTCATATTTTACCAAACTTTTCTTGTTTATATGTCTCTATCTCTGTAAGAGTAATCTCCAAAATTCTGATTGTACGTATGTATTAGTAAAGCAATTTCAGAATGTTATCAGACATTTCTATCACTAAAGCAAATTCTGAATATTATGCTAAAACACATTCATCACATCACACAAGAAATTTTAAAAGATGAGAAAAAGACAACGTAATACTTAAAATAGCTTTGATTTTAGTAATTGTGCAAAAATATTTTTCTCACCAATAATCAATGCACATAATATGATTGAATATGCATTATTTTAGAAAATCTTGGTTTGACATTTTTTGATACAGTAATTAAAAAGTAAAATAAAAAATAAATACACTGAAATGAAAGAAATAGATTAGCTACACTTACAAAACCACTTACATGGCATTCATTTTTCAATCTCATCTACGAAATATTCAAATGACTCTATGAAATGGGGTTAGTAAACTTCCACTTTTCATGATAGTAATTAGTTGTTCTTATAAAATAATTGGGGGTGGGGTGGGAAGATGGGCAAAATGGGTGAAGGGGAGTGGGAAATATAGATTTTAGTTATGAAATGAGTAAATCATAAGGATAAAAGTTACAGCATAGGAAATATGGTCAATGGTATTATAAAGGCATTGTATGTTGACAGAAGATGGCTACACGTGTAAGCACAGCAGAGGGTAAAGACTTGTTGAATCATTATGTTGTACACCTGAAACTAATGTAACATTGGGTGTCAATTATACTTTAATGAAAAAACATAAAATAATTGGAAGACGTTACTGTAAAAATATTTTTAACAAATGGGTTCAAAATCAACTAAAACTCTTCAAAAGGAACATTTTCAAATGGATAAGGATCTTCATTTCTTAGTTTTTTAAGTCTGCAGTTATTAGTTTTTATAAATGACACAAACAATTTCCACTAACAAAATAGCATAGTATAAGCAATTTTAAGTATCTAAGTATCTTAACGTAAGCATGATTTTATATTTTATGGAAATCTTCCCAAGATCTTCTTTCATGTCTTTCCCCCAAAGCTATCTACTGAATTAACTTCTCATTTATTTTTCTAGGCAGATTCGTCCATTCCTTGTCCATTTTCTCTTCTCTATTCATATTATCTGAGCTAGAAATCTCCCTCTCTTGTCCTTTTTGGCTCTGAGAATCTACTCCAAATCACTTTAAAATTAGAATTCTAAAAATATATTTCTTTAAAACCTTCCTCAAAAAAACGACTTTTCGGGGCGCCTGGGTGGCTCAGTGGGTTAAGCCGCTGCCTTTGGCTCAGGTCATGATCTCAGGGTCCTGGGATCGAGTCCCACGTTGGGCTCTCTGCTCAGGAGGGAGCCTGCTCCCTCCTCTCTCTCCGCCTGCCTCTC